GGGGATATTTTGCAGGCATATGGATGCGGAGACATCTGGAAAAAAGCAGATATGGTGGGCCGCGACATCCGGCACGTCATGAGCCTTGTTGAGGAGATCCATATGCAGGCGATGAGTTCTGTAGATGACATCGCTGATTGGCGTTCCAGCGGTATCTTTGCTTATCAGATCTGTGCCGAGGGTGCCAAGGTCGCTACCTAGTCAAATTTAGTTCCCTGTATCTAAACGACCCTACCTACATATCTCAAAACCATTTGCACTACCCGGCGTGGATTAATCCATTGATTTTGGTCTGATGTCACCTGTATAATTATCAAGCCACAAAAATAAGGTTCAAGTTCAAGTCAGCGCACAGTTGAGGCTTGCCTTGTAAAAAACCCCATCGTCCGTCCAAAATGCCTAAGGTGTCACTCAAGCCCAAAACTTACAAGCCCATCATTGTCGACACCGGCAACAATCTTGGCAAAAGGTGCCGTGAGGTATGATCTCATGTAATTTCAAATGGTGGGGGGACCCTGACAAGAGATCGATCGTTCAGATTGCTGCCCAAGCCAAGTTAGATGACATTGCTGCCGCAAAACGGCTCCGCAAGCGGGAGCAAAACGCGGTGTTGAAGCAACTCTTGCCCAGCTTCGTTTCTGCGTCCAAGGAGGGCCAGGTGACCGCTTATATGTCTCGCGCATCTCTGGTGTGGTTCCTCCGTTTTCCCGACCCGACAGAGGAGGAGGTGTTTGTCCATGAAAACTTCAAGGATGACCCAGCCTACGAAGAATATATTCGAGACGCACGCCGAAAGGTAAGTACACTTATGTATTATAGATTGTGCACACTGACTGAAACACTTCGAAGTGGATGCGCAAGAAGCTCTCTTGGATGTGTGGGAGCTTCGCAACTACCGAGGATGGACCAAAGCCCGAGAAACCCATTTGGGTGTTAGAGTTGAACTTGGCAGCGCAGGAAATTTTGAGCAAGTTGGAAACACCTTGGAAATGGGACCCTGAGGCGTTGGCGGCGTTGGAGGCCATAGAGAAGTGCTTGGCTCCATGCGAGAGGTAGAGAAGGGTAACTTTAAGGTCTATAGCCTTACAAACTGTTTGTAATGTACATTAGAAACCGTTTGTAACGAAACTTATTCTTATAACTTGAACTAGATCTTGATTGATCTAGATGTGACCAATTCTATTGTCCCTTGTTGATGTCACTTTTCTTTTCTCAGGTCCGACCATCCAATGAAGAGAAAGGGGAAGGCCAAGGAGAAACATTATGTCGTCGTGCGTGGCTCTGACGACGACGAGCGCCAGGACGTTTCTATCCCGCAATCTCGGACCATCCACTTTTCCAACAAAGGACTTCGCATCCTTCAAACCCCTCTTTCCCCGCAAAAAGCTGCATCTGCCTCTTGTCGCAGTCCGTCGCCTCAGTATGAGTGGAATCCAAGTACCGAGTACGACAACATAGAAGAGCCACTCCACGAATTGGAAGGGGAACTACTGGACCAAATTTCAACTGTAGCTGAGAAGGTTGCAGCTAAACGCTATCCAACCTCGGTAAGTTTGGACCATTGCAGGTCTGTCAAATATCTCATGCCGTTTAGGACGCCCCTTTGCGTGAATGGGCAGGAGCTACACTTCAAGAGCCTGGCTGCCGAGAAGAATATCTCATGGAAATGTTGAGGTTAGAGGGATGGGGAGACAGGTCGACGGAAGACCAGTGCATGTCTTGCCTCGCTGGGGGTGGCATCTACTGTTGCGAAGATTGTATGGGCCGCTTGATGGAGTGCCTTGGTTGCTGCTTGAAGCGCCATGAGCAGCTCCCTTTGCATATCATCCAGGCTGGTTTCTATCACTCCTCCTCTACTCGTTCTGATTAGTTGTCAATAGAAGTGGAACGACGTCTTTTTTGAAAAGATTTCTCTCAGAACGATGAGGCTACGAGTCCAGCTTGGCCACGTCAATTCACCTTGCTTATTACCTCAGCCTGGCCACAAGGACTTCACGGTCCTTCATACCAATGGCCTTCATTACGTGGCCGTGGATTTTTGTGGCTGCGATCAACGAGTCATCTCAAATCGGCAGCAGCTGCTCCGCGCAGAGTGGTTTCCTGCAACAGTCCATCAACCACAAACCTGCGCGACTTTTCGGCTACTGGAACTCTTCCACATCATCACCCTGACAGGAAAACTGTCCGCTCACGAATTTTACAAGGCCCTCGAGTACCTCACAGATAATACTGAGCTTGAGATTCCCAAGGTAGGTTTGCTGTGCGGTCTGCAATTTCTGTCACTTACAAATCTGTTTTTAGATGCGATATAAGTCGCTCATGCGCATGATTCGCGAGTTTCGCCACTTGAAACTCATGAAGCGCCATGCGCGGGGGAACATTGAGCATGGCATCACGCGTACGGCACGCGGGGATCTTGCTACCCTTTGTCCAGCATGCCCGATACCAGGAGTCAACCTTCCCGAGAAGTGGGAAGACGTCGGAATGGAATGGAAGTAAGTGTTGAGTTAGTCTAGTGGAGCCGAGCTGATTGGTCAATGTTTCTTTAAGGTTTCTCTATACCCTCATAATCGCCATGGACGCGAATTTTCGCTTGAAGAACCTGATGCGCTCGAGCCTCAAGAAGGACCCAGGATTACATACAGGGCTTGCATACTTCCCTGAAGATGCACCGTACCAAAAGCACATATTGAAGTATGCTACCCAAAAAGATGTACGTAGCGCTCTCTCGTCCATTCTGTGTCTCAACTCAAGTCATTCAAGATTAGCACCTGCAGTGGGTTTAAAACACTGGCGAATGCAGAGACACAGTTTTCGGCCGGTTTACGCTCAACCGGTGTAGGGATGTGTTTGTGTGCCAGACATGAAATTATTCGTCCTGGGGGGGTGGGAGACCTTCAAAAGGGAGAACGGTATGTACCTCCTGATGTGGTTCATCGCGCCGAAACTTATTTCTAGTGACTTAGGTACTGTAACATGGATTTCATCTTACTGTCCGCCCTCGCTCCACTCCTCGTCGCTTCGGTCTTTATCTCTTACGACATCGCTTGCCAATTCAAGCTTGGCTTCGAAACACGAATGCCCAAGTTACCAAAAGATCTACACATTCACTCGGACGTTGAGCTGGGCTGGGGTATCCCCAAGTGTCATTGCCCCATGCATAAGGTGCCTTGCCAGGCTCCCCATTCGCTAAATTTCAAGCCCGGCGTGGGCCGCACCGATGGCGAGGGAATTGAACGGAGTTGGGCCGAGATGAATCGTGTTGCGAGTAGTACGAAGGAAATGGGTCCTGGGTCGCGGCATGACACGCTCGATGACCACTTCGAGCACCACAACTTTAGGAAATATGTTTCACTTGGTGAGGCATTCACGCATTTTTGATCGTTGATTGTACACTCACTATTTTTTCAGGACGAACATTGCATTGCCGGCTGACCCTCGCAATACCTGAACAAAAGCGTCAACAAGTCATCTTTGATG